TCTGTCACGGGAATTTGCACTACCAAGTCTTACGATTCCCTCTATTCTGTTAATTCTGGCAATAATGTTCCTGTTCTGTTATTACCGGGCAGTGTCATCCAAATTCAACATTGTTCATAACATACTAACCCTTACGACACAAAAGTCTAGGTCCCCTGTAGTAGAGAATACCCCTACAGTAATTTCCCCAGCTTAGTGTCTACATATCTGTTTATAACATGGTTAGGGTTGTCTAAGATGTACTGTACTCTGTGAGTTATTTAGGCCTCACGGAGCTCGGCTGGTAGGTGACCGAGCGATGTAATAGGCCCCTGTCTCATCAACAGAACGTATTATATAAATGGGTCAATACATCTGATATTATATTCAGATTCACCACCCTGTAACTTTCCACTGTCTATGAGTAAGACATGAGATTGACACTTGAGCGGGCAACTTACCCAAGAGGGCGAGACCCATAGCTCAGCATTCCTGTAAGCACGCACTGCGATGCCCCTAAGCTTCAGTAGCTCACCTCAACTCATATCGAAAGGACGTGACCAAACGTTTATCATACATAAACGCCGTCCCTTTCTCATTCACTCCTAGACAGTGAGACTTACGGTTGATATACACTCAGGAATTATATATACAACCTTTTATAATAAAACAAAGGAACTACCGTTTGGGTTTCGTTACTTAAAACCCAAATATAAATATGTGTGAACGGACTGGTTAATTGGACAAGCAGCCGATTCAGGACCTGCAGGAACTTGTATCTCCCCCATGGTGTAATGATGGTGTAATAAAGGTTGTCCGTGGCTGGGCTTCCTCAGCAAGCGGGATCTGCCAATAGCCAAGTACAGCCTCCATAGCCGTGAAGTACCAACAACCAGGGGTTCCCTGTATGGCAGCATTGCCTGATGTCGGGAATGGTAGAGCGGAACGTAGAGCATGTTTGTTGAGTTTTGTCAAGTCTACTGTAATGCGAACCTCACCCTTCCGCTTGGGAGCGATCACCATGGCATGACACCACTCAGATGCCTCATCACCAAGTGGATGAATGATACCTTGCTGGACCTTGCTATCGAGCATCCACTTGGTGTCTGACCTCCACGCTAAAGGAATGGTTCGGGGAGTGTGGATTGCAAAGGGTTTGACTTATTCAAGATGGAGAAGCAACTGGAACGTCTGACGGCGCTCCTGGTACAGGAGGCTGAGACGGCTAAGCAGGCCCAGGAAGAACCCCAGCATAGGGAAGAATGCATGAGCCAAATCCAGGAGCATTTAGTCTCTCAGCAGACACTAAGTCGCCACAGCGCAACGATTACAAGTGGCGAAGCCACCACCAGCTGCTGTGCGTGGCCAAGTTTTCCGTCTGCGCTGCACCCGCCCCTCACCTGTCGTCCTCGGCTTCACTACGGGAGTTTGATGCCTGGCACCACAAGTTTAAGGATTACGTGACATTAACGAAAATTTCCTTCCTGCCCTCAGCGGAGCAGAGAGCAGCACTTGTGTCTGTGCTGGACGACGGGTGGACACGAATCGTTCTGTTCTAGTCCTTTAATCGTTGATTCCGCCTGGGTTAATGAGGCTGGAACATGTATATTATATAGGGTTTTAGTAGCGAAACCCAATTGTCTGTTATTTATTTATTTAGGAACTATCTCGGATACAGTTCCAAGTGTATATCACCGTAACTTAATCACTGTAATTATGAGTGTTAAGAGGAGGACGAAGGCTATGTTAAATAGCTCTGCTAAATACGTCCGGTTGGTGTGAGGTGTTGAGTAACAATGCCAATGAGTAGGGACCCATCGAGGGAGAACAGAAATATATCCGACGTCTTCCTGCTCAGATCCAGCCAGTTAGGCAGGAGGAGTTGATGGCGGGTTGAAGCAGCCTCGAACCTAGCGGAGCGAGTCGGGCATCATCGTATACCCCGCCGGTGGAGCGCAGAGCACACCACCACTATAGTTGAAGCCATCCCGATAGTCTTCGGTGCTTCGCAGACGCTGCTGGAGATGGATGGAGGCCCATGCGTATCCATCTCATCGACAATGCTAGTCCCTTTACTGTAACAACGTCCCGCACACTTCCCTACAGCTGACGTGCGGAGATCAAAGCACAGCTGCATGACCTATTTGCTAAGGACATCATCGTCGGGGTAGACTACCCGACAGCCTGGTGATACCCTATCTAGACACTGTGTGTAGACCTAACACGCCTTAATCGTTACGTCCGAAGGTCAACGTACCTTGTGCAGTCCCCCCATAACGTCGTAGCTTCCATAGGATCGGAATCAGGGTGGATCACCACCATGTATGCAAAGATGTGATACTTCCAGATAAATATTGCGGACGAGGACCAAGACCTCACGTGCTTCATAACACCCTCGGGCTGCATCAAGTTTAAAAGCGTTGCTATGGGGCTTGTTTCTTCTGGCTACGAGTACAATCAATGCGGCGACCAAACTCTAGGGAACATCCCACGGACAATCAAGTTTGTGGAAGACATCTTGGCGCACGATACCTCGTACAAAGACCATCTCGCCCACGTTATCACCATCAAACGTTGTGACGGTTAGGCATCAATCTGAAAGATGAAAAGTTTGTGTTTGCAAGGAACAGGGTTGATTTCTGTGGCTAAACGATCTCACTCTAATGTTACACCGCAGACATTCGGAAAGTTAAGGCAATTGCAGATTTCCCTCGGCCACAGAACCTCGTGGACCTAAGATAGTTCATAGACATCACAAATTTGGTTCCAATCCTCAACACAAAGTTGATTAGCGAAAATGAGAAGCCTCGTCTGCAGCACATACATGAAAAACATTCTGGTTACTCCTTCACAGCCTCTTGGCAGAAGGGCACTTCTCATTGCGCTCCTAATACACTATCTTGTTCGCCACTTCAAGATCCTGCAGACAGTGGCAACGCATCAGACCCTAATGACTTGGATCCCCTCCACGCCGCTGTGGTGTCTGCCCTCAATGCTATCTATAAGGAGGGCAGTCGTTTGGCACCTCTCAAGGACCAAACCTTGGAGAAGGTGCGTGCTGCTGCGATACAGGACGCTGAGTACGCTGTCCTGAAGGATTTAATTATCACTGGCTTCCCTGAGCATCGCCACGAGTTAGAACCACTCTCACGTCCGTAGTCTGTTGGCCCTGGACGATGACGTCATTGTGTACTGGCCGACGTTGCTTATACCTCACAGTCTTCACCGGGAGACTCTGTCACACTTCATGACGGTCATCAAGGGATGGAGCGCACCAAACGTCGGACTCGGCAGACTACCTACTGGCCAGGGATCGATCGGAACATCGAGACTGTAGTCTCTGGTTGTTCTCGATGCCGTCCCCTTCTCCGTAAGCAGCAGAACGAGACCTTGTGGCAGGACAATGACCCACCAGGTAGAGTGTTTCAAGTCAGTATCTGCTGATTGCTTTCATGTGGCTGGCCTGCACACCATTGCGTGATTTTGCCAGAGTAACAACGCACGGGTGATGAATGCGACTCCAGAGCCGACCACCTCGGAAGAAATGCGAAATCGCGGCACGACTCCACGGCGTAATAGCTTTCCCGGCTGCACCTTGATGCCTACGACGACGTGCAGGTCCATATGAGCAGTCGATGGGACTCCTTAGGTGTTGTCGTGGGTCTAGGATCGAGCTTGTTAAAATGGATAGTGGCCGCGTCCTGTGGGGGAACAGGAAGTTCCACCGTCCCCATTATCCGATGATGCCAGAGAGCGTCTTGGAGCCTATATTTGAGGCAAAGGCTCCAGTGGAACCAGACAGCATCAAGGGTCCAGCACCAGGCCCACCGCCAGGCGTAAGTTCAGAGGAGCATCCAGGACGCAGCTCCCGCCACGCTGTAGTGGCCAAAGCGACTTGGGGTGCGATGGGATTCTCAGACTAACGGCGATGAGACGAAGAGATGAATCCAGATCTCGTGGGTCCTCAAGTAGACCTCAATGTCTTCGGGGAGGTGTGTGGTGTGCATGTAACGCGAACGAGCGCGATTGGGTGAACCATTGTGTGGCGTGTGCACGAGTGCCGTCCTCTACTGGCGTGATTGACGTGTACAAGAGTACTGCTACCTAGTGGTGTGAACAAAAGTTGGTTGTGGGTTGAATTATGATTAGTTAGATGACATGGCACAAGGTTTCGTGAGTCTTATAGGTTACACGGGAAAGGCGATTGTATTTTACTGCACCACTGTGTGAACCTCCCAGTAAATTGCATAGGTGAAGGCGGTGTTTTTTGAGCCGTTGGCACCGAGTAGCATTTGAACAGGTGTTTCATCCTCAAAGGGGTAAGGTCTAGACACCTGGCGTTAGTAATAGTTTGAGATGTGTTTAACTAGCTGAGAGCGTGGAGTACCCTGATGTGGCAATGCAACGCCATAGTCAGGACTGAATACAAGGGAGTGAAACAGGGAAACTGTCCTGTTTGTGATAAGATAAAAACAGTGAAGGAGGTAAAAAGATAAATGAACAATGTAATAAGTTATGTTTTATGCAGCAATGATGTGTAGCCATCACTAAGGTCTCGTTCAAACGTGACTTTTGTGTAGAAATTCATCTTTATTTTACACGTGTTAGTTTATTCACCGTGATGAAGTATATCCAGGAAAAAATTAACCATTTTATATAAAGTCATAAAATAAAAAGAATATAATAGGGCAACAACCTTGAAATTTACACACACACACACACACACACACACACACACACACACACACACACACACACACACACACACACACACACTTGAACATCCAGTACATATACACTCCAGGTTGATTATATATTATACAGCATTGTGAACCATTTTGGAAACTCTCTCTATAGTTTAAGCCAGTAAGGATCAGTTAAGTCGTTTAATACCAATCATCATCCACGTATTTTTGTTCAAGCTGCAGTCAATAAAGTCATAAAGTTGATTGGTCAGTGGCCAGGTATGTGGACACTGAGTGAGTCAAGGTTTCAACTGACCATTCTTACAAGTGGCGGCGCTGAGGTCAGTCTGGTGCTCCTCTCTTACCACTACTTCTCCTCAACCCCAGCCAACAGGTGACAACTCTTTGACTTGTCTTGTGACGGAAGGTTTATAGTGTGAGCTGTCTGTCCATTGTTCTTGAGTTATAATCTCTGTTATGGATATCCGGTGTGAACCAATGGTGTGGTATTATAACAGTTCTTTCTCTCATAACCCTTAATTGTTAATGAACTTGTGTAATTACTCGCTTAAAAACCTTTGTTGTTGAAGCGCAATAATATTATAACATCAAATTGTATAACCGTAGCCACACCTGGCTCACCAACACCCACACCATACTCGGATATGTACAGAACCCGTCCTCTCTCAGCCTGTGTTTGACGCCAGGCTCGCGTGACTCTTGCATGTTTGCTTGTACAGTACTTTGTAAGATTAGTTTTACTGTGGGTCCCACTGTCGAGCCCTCTCTCTTGAATTACCTTTGTTGGTCCAGCACACTCAAAAAACTTTTTATTCACATTCCCGTAGATGACATTTTATGTGGCATAAATACTAAGATTTTATTAACACTTATCAGAGTACCGTCCTTATATCTGAGGGTTGGCGACCACAGTCCTCCACTCTAAAGGTTCTCGGGCTGCAACTACCAATCCTCCAAGATTTTGTTTCTCTCTGGAGACTCAGTTTTTTTATTTCATTCATCCATACCAGTCTGTACCTTCCTCTGGCCCTCCTACCTTCAACTCTGCCCATTAATATTCATGTTATCCCCTCATCCCTAAGTATATGACCAAAGTATCTCACTTTTCATTTGTTGTATATTTCAAACATTTCTCTTGAAATTTTTAATAATCTTAGTACTTTTAAATTTGTTGCTGAGTTGTTATTATGTTATTACTATGTTTCAAATTCCTTTCACTCAAAATTTTCAATTTAGCTTCTCTAGTTTTAACCTTGCTTTATTACATTACCATAAGTTTATATGAGAGTAGCTGCAACACAACACTGGCTGAACCTCATTAAAACTTCAATAAGTATTCACAACCCTTTACTGCTGGTATCAGCTAAGTATGTGGTAGTTCTCTGAGAGAAAGGTAGACGAGGAATTTGAGGGCCAAAGAAAATTGTATATATATTCTTTGTTGATTTTGAAATAGGTTGCGATAAGGTAAAACACAATAAACTTATAGAGGTCTTGGAAAAATAAGCATTACCGAAGGAGACATTATAATTCTATAAAAATTATTTACTGGCAACAGGCGGCTGCAGTGTTAGTATATAATGAACTTACTAAATGGTTCACAGATAAACAGGGAGTAAGGCAAGGCTGTGTTCTATCTCCAACATTACAAAATACATATTCAGAATCTTTAATGAGAGAAGTTCTTAGTAACAATGAAGGAATAAAGGTTAATGGTAAAGTAATATCAAATAAACACTATGCAGATGATACTGCTCTTATCAAGCAAAGTGAAGAGGCATTACAAAAACTGGTTAACATACTGGTGGAAAAGAGGATAGAAGTGGTTGCTTCCAAATTGGAAATAAAGCCTAAAATAAATTATTATAGGAAACAGGTAATTCAAACAAATGGAAAATATTGTCTTTTTGGGAAGTAACATTTGCTGTGATGGTAGATGTTCGAGAGAAATCATAACAAGAACAGGTCATAAAAAGGGATATTAATTTCAATTTGAGAAAAAGGCTGCTGAAAGGCTACATATGGTGAGATCTGTTGCATGGACCAGAAACCTGGACGCTTTCAGCAGACACCAGAAAGAGGTTGGAGACCTTTGAAATGTGATGTTATGAGCGAATGTAAAAAATAAGTTACAATGACAGCAAAACAAATAATGTTTGGCCATTAAGAGTGTTTTATATCTCCTACTTGTTTTATTGTTGATGAAATGGTGTAATTAATAACCTTGATACTCGCCTAAAGACCTTAGTTGTTGAAGCACAATAATAACATAATAACACTTCAGCAACAAATGAAAAAGTACTAAGATTATTACAAATTTCAAGAAAAAAATTTTAAATAAAAAAAAACTAAAATTGAGATACTTTGGTCATATCATTAGGGATGAGGGTATTTGCTCGAAATAAGGCAAACAAAGTACTTGGGTTCATAGAAAGGAGTGTTAGTTACAAGACTACGAGAGGTTATCCTAAACCTATATCTTGCGAGTGTAAGACCTCACTTGGATTACTCAGTTCAGTTCTGGTCACCGTACTACAGAATGGATATAGAATCCCTAGAAAGAGTTCAGAGGAGAACGACAAGATTAATCCCGGGCATTAGGAACCTTGAGTACAGAGACAGGTTAAAGCATCTTAATTTGCACTCCCTCGAGAGACGTAGAGTGAGGGGCGACATGATCGAGGTGTATAAATGGAAGTCAGGACTAAACAAAGGGGACATAACATTGGTATTTAAACTATCGAACCAGGAGCGAACTCTTAGCAATGGTTTTAAATTAGACAAATTTAGATTTAGGCACAAGATAGGTAAACATTGGTTTGGATATAAAGTAGTGGTTGAGTGGAACAAGTTACCATACACCATCAAGTTGAAAACGCTGGATAACTTTAAACATAGTTTGGACGGACTTATGAGCAATAGGGGTTGAGTGGAAGCGGGACTGCCCAGAATGGGCCAATAGGCCCGCTGCAGTTCTTAAGCCTAGTCACAAGACCATGCAGTCAAACATAATACATTGGTACTCGTGCCTCGCAGGTCAGACTATGACTTGTGTTAAAGAGACAATATTGATATGATTTAAGGACAATTGGAGTTAGCAGCACCGAAGTGTAGGTAGCGTACATATAGTGGTCAGTGACTCGCCCTGTGGTAGGAGGTCCCTGACAGTGGGACAGTTAAAGCAATAGTGTTGAATTAAGGCTGTTAACGTTGGAACAGTTACAGAGTTTACAGGAGGAGAAGTGAGGGTCTCCCCTGCCTCAGATACTTGCTAGAAAGGTCTGTATAGTCACTGAATGTGAGCAGAGACAACCTTATGTTTGCAGACCATAAGTCTACGTCGACGATACTTGTGTGGATAAAAAAAGAAAGTGACCATAGTGTTGGATGGATATATTATCAGCCTGTTCACTGTCTCTACGATGGCTTGTAGGGAGAAGAGCGGCTGAACGTATTCTCTTTCATTAGGTTCTGATTGGATAACCATAATGTGTTTTTAATTTTTATCTTTGGTTAACCTTTTTAGAATTTACTGAGGATTTATTTTAATATTTGAGACAATTAGTATTTGTATTACTTTTTACTTTCAGCACTTAAGTACTTTATGAATGACATACTTTTTTTTACTTCTACTTGAGTAAATTGAACCTTGGATACTGGTACTTTTACTTGAATAACATTTTCCCAATGCAACAATACTTTTACTTGAGTAACAAAGTCCGGTACTTTTTACAACTCTGCCATATGAGGATGGGCATAACTAGGATAATAATAATAATAATAATAATAATAATAATAATAATAATAATAATGATAATAATGGTATTTGTCAGCAGGACGACGATGGCGGGAACTGTGATGAAAGTGATGGCGTTGATGTTGTCCAACTTCCTGGTCACCAGTGCTGTGATAACAACCATAAAAGTGTACAAGGTGACGATCCACTCTATTCTTATTTATTTTTAAATATTTCGTACATAAATTAACAGTAAAATATATTCAAGTGTTAATAAATGGGGTCAAATCAACCTTAAACAACAACGATGAGAAAAATAAAGTTAAGTTTATGTATCACTAAGACCTTTAGATAAGTGATCCCTCGAGATATAAGGAAGAATAAACACCGTACCATATTTCGTTAATGTCCCCCATTTTCTCTCCCCACCCAGGTGGCGTCGTCACATAATGATCCATTTCCTATCTGTACAATAAAAGTTGTAGAGATGCAGAGAATTTCAAGGACGTCTTGTGCTTTAAAATGTCTTGAGGAACCTCTGTGTAGGGCCTTCTGTGTTAAAGGTAAGAAGCCCTTAAACTAATTAAAGGTAAGAAGCCCTTAAACTTATTAAGGTAAGAAGCCCTTAAACTTATTAAGGTAAGAAGCCCTTAAACTAATTAAAGGTAAGAAGCCCTTAAACTTATTAAGGTAAGAAGCTCTTAAACTTATTAAGGTAAGAAGCCCTTAAACTTATTAAGGTAAGAAGCCCTTAAACTTATTAAGGTCAGAAGCCCTTAAACTTATTAAAGGTAAGAAGCCCTTAAACTTATTAAAGGTAAGAAGCCCTTCAAATTATATCATTTGCGGTCGATACTGCTTCAATTTGGGAGGAAGTGAACTAGGACGGTGTACTGGAGTGTTTGGCCGTATTTCTAACCGCACATTTTACACTCATTTAACTGTGTTCACACCAGCCTGAAAGTCATACTACCAGAAGTACTTCTGTCTTATCCTTAGTCTAACAGTTACATCATCTTGTAATCTATTGATCTTTAGAGTTGTTCCACCTACTTGTATGTGTTTCTCTCTGATACATCCCATCATGGTAGCCAAAGGATTGACTAATGCCTTTTTGCACTTGTCTACCTGCCCCTGTTGCATCTGCAAGTTCACTCCTGGTTACAGTTCTAAAGTTTCATTTTGTCAGTCCCAGATTGTTTTCAACAGTGTGTTTGTTAGACACGAGTTTGGCGTAGACATCAACTGTATCATGTTCACTGAGGCTTACAATTATATCAGAAGAGATCCACAGCAGCTTGATCTCAACACCCGTATTTGTGACTGGCTAACAGACAAAGTGCGTGAACAATGATAACGTAGAGAATCTTTCCACACTTTCTCTACTTTAGTTTTGTGATATTAAGCCAACATATGTGTCGAGGTTATGTCTTTTGGGTAACTTTAGAGATTTTATGAAATATATTCTTATTCATGGCTGAAGTCATTCTTACATCATCAGTTGAGAGGAATAGTCATCTTAGTTCATGTCATTATTATCTTTCAGGCGCCTCGTGTCACATCAACGGAGGCCACCTGGATGGTCGCTGGCCTGGAGCAGCTGTTGGTCACATCTATCCTGGTATTTTTACCTACGATTATTGTTATGCATACTTGGAGGAAGGAGATGTTACGTCCCATATTGTGAGCACCTCGGCCTCCACTGTTCACTCGGAAGGATTATATCCAGAATTTGTTATAAATGGGTTTTACTGTCATATCCCGAAGTACCATGGTCCTCTATTTTACTGCTGGGCTGCGAGTCCTAGTGACGTTCAAGGGTATTGGCGGGCCACTCTAGACTCCCCACAAACTATCAGCACAATCTATGTCTGGACGCGTGGTGACGGCCATCCTACGCCAACTTTTGATAATGTAGAGATAACTTTTGGTACCTCCAGCGACTTCGACAACCCTGTCTTTGACACTTACCCAAACACGGCATTAATTACAGGTGAGATGATCACTTTCACTGCCACTAGCCCAGTGACTGGTCAGTACCTACAGGTGAGGGATTTATCTCCCACTGGTCCCTTGGGCATTTGTAATATCCAGCTGCTCCAGTAAACACTGTCATGCCTTTTGACTCACCTGCAGTTTACTTCATTTACAGGTGAACTTTAGTCACCTTAAGAGCAGAGTTTATACAAGATAAATTTGACTCAAGGATCAAAGTGTTGTGTTTTCTCCACTATGTTTGGTTCCATGAGTCACGTTGTCTGTGACTGAAGGATCACGTGTAAGACTGTTCTTGACAACTTTTACCCATAATACACAAAACTTAAGAATAAGTAGAAGGATAATAATTATGTATGTGAACATTCAGAGGCTAATATGGCCGTCCAGTCTATGATGGTGAAAGTGAATTAAAGGAACTGACGTGAAGCTCCTCATACTGTTGCTGATGTTTGTGTGTTGACATTTATATCTCCCCGACACACCTGAATTATTGTACAGGTTCACTGTAAGTTCAGGGGTTCTCACATGACACTCATACTTAGGCCTGCTGTATACACGCGTTATAAACGTCTTCTTAACACACACACAGTTTGGTGTCAACTCTGAACCCCTTAGATTGACCACTTAAAATAAGTTGGAAATTACTACAAGAGAAATTTCCGTCATTTATATTTATTAAATGCTAAGAAGACCTTGATGTGAGTTAATGAATGTAAATAATTTACCACACTGATAGAAAGAACGGTAACACTTTATCTTTAAAATGTGTTAATGTTTAGTATAAACAGCGGGGCTGCAGTGCACGACTGTGTCAGTTTTGATCAAATCCTTATCCTTGTCAGGGTAGATCGCTCTCACCTCAATTGTACTACACACAGTTCCTACTGAAGCATTACTGTTGATGTTAATTAGGGAGAAGTGTGAACGCTATATAACCAACACTTGTTTTACTGTTCCATGGACTGCAGCAGCTGCTTAATGCACGTCAAACGCTCAACATATAACAGTCAAAACATTATTATCTCTCCCTTGACCTTCAATGGTATGTACCTAAAGTCTGTCACGCTCGACGGCTGCTCTCTCCACTTTGTTGACATCTTCACCTGTCTGGGTCACATAACACCACAATAATTGTTTATGTGTATCGTAGACATGAGGCTGGAAGTGTTTGTCCAGCTTGACGAGTAATTTTAACATATATTTATGTATTCTTCATCAGCCGACTATTTGGGATATTTTCATGAGTTAAGAATTAGGGTCTTGGCTCATACAAATAAAATATTTCTACGGGTTGATATCCATCAATGGTAGAGAGTCAGCGTTATCTTACAACACGGAAATATTTTCCCACTAAGTACTAGGAATACACCTGTCCTCTGTCTTGTGTTATGACACCTGTCAGCCGTCTTGTGTCACAGCACCTGTCAGTGCTCTTGTGTCACGGCATCTGTCAGCCCTTTTGTGTCAGAGCACCTGTCTACCCTCTTATGCTACGACACTTGTTAGCCATCTTCTGTCACTGCATCTTTCCCCGCTTTTGAGCCACGGAACAACTATAAGAACATGTACTGTACAGTCTCGTTCAAGATTCTTCAAACACTGCTGGAGACAGCTGGCAACTCAAGGCCGTTTGTTTACTATAGTACGTAGTAACAATTATGAATGAATGTAAAAGGTTATCGGTGATTGGTTACTTAGTTCCCTGTTGCTTAATTAATGGTTGGGCTTTGTTGTTTCGTATTATATTATACTACGTACTATAGTAAACAAACGGCCTTGAGTTGCCAGCTGTCTCCAGCAGTGTTCGAAGAATCTTGAACGAGACTACATGTCAGCAGATCTATGACCTGTATCAATAGAGTAATCAGCGGGTCCGGTAATGCAGCAAATACTAAAGTTTGTTATGTGAGAGACGGGGCAGAGGGACACTTCATCACTCACAACATGACCTTCTGCACCTGGAAGAAAGACTTCATCTTCAACAACTAAAACAAACAGCGTTTTATTAACAAGTTCTCCCAAAAGATTTTAACGTGTGTTAGGCAATATAGATTAAGTTAAGACTGAATCAAGGTTAGAGTTATGTGAAGGACGATTCCATTTATAGTTTAATTTCTTACTTACATTCTGCAAAAAGTAATATGTATTGTGTTTAATATTCTTATATTATAATCGTAATGTATTGTATTTTGGCTGATGTGATTATTGTGTAGTCCTGTATTTTGAGTGTTGAGGTTATTTTTAGTTCTAGTCTGTATGGTAGGTGTTATAGTTCCTTGTCTAGAACCCACGAGTCAGCGGAAGGTGGGTGCGACAGCTAGTTGTGTCTCGGCTGTTTATTGATCACATGATAATAACATAGTATCAATTAGCTTTAAGAATTTTGTAACAAGTTCAGTTAAAGCAATTCTCTTAGGATTTGTTTTTATTGTAGCTTGTTAACTTTTCGTGTGTTGGATTTGCCCTAATTAAATATTAAGAAATACAAAGGTGTGATTATTTTCATTCCTTCGTTTATGACTGTGTGTGTGTCCTCTGGTAAACATATTGTGGTGATGTGTTGATGTGTGAAATTAATTAAGGTTCAGACATGAAAAATGATTAGGTATACTTAGAAACTGACGCATAACCGATTATTACATATAGGTGAAATACCCTGCAAGTTTCGTTGATACCCCGGAGATTAGACGATTGGAAGAGAAGGGGGAAGACCTGTTTTGAATTTGGCGGGCGGTGGTGTGATGTGAGGGCCCTGAGCGCTGTTTCTGATCCATTTCCGCCATCTTTGTTCTTATTTGCACTTACAACGTGATTCTGACTTCGTGTTTTTTTCGTTATTTCCGAATTATGGTGTAATGCAATCATGCCTAAATGCCCCAGTGATAATTCCTCTTGCGCTGCCCCTTCAGACTGATGTGATGTAATAAGGCATATTTTTTTTATTTGTTTTTTTAGTGGGCACTCCCCTACATCCTTGTGTAAGGTGAAGCGCAGCAGCGCTTACAGCGCCCAACAGGGAAGCATGCTAAGTTCATGCTTGCCTTTGTCTCATGAGTTAAGGGCGTAGAAGCCTGAAGAGTCAGTGGTTTATGTCATCAAGTTATTGGAAGCTCCAACAACTTGTCCCTGAATACGAATTCGCAACTTTCGACTTACACCAGGTACCTACTTTACTGCTAGGTGAACAGGGACTAATGGGGGCTAGGAAATAAGTCCAAGCAACTTCCACCGGCCCGGGAATCGAACCCGTGACATCTCGCTTGCGAGGCAAAAACGGAACCGCTTCTACCACCTGTCCCCCAATAAGGTATAATAAGAATGAACCACCAAAGAGTGGTAGAGACTTGAACTTGTCACCCTAGACCATCTCTACCATCCTCACACAGGTAAATGATAGTCTCAATTTATGCTTTACATTACTTATTTAAGGCTTATTATGTTTGGTTTATTTTCTAGCTTGACAGTGTACAGTACAGAGATATATCAATTAAATTGAATCCCATAGGTATAACTGCCCATCAGTGATGATGTGGATGCAGCACACTGTTTACTAAGTCTTCGATACAAAACGAGGCAGCATGGCCAGTACTGCATAAGATAGCATTCATTTCCCTTAGTCTTAAACTTAGCTACCCATTCACAACCACAGGCAATCACTGTATCCACTCGACCTCCGAGCTTCTCTTAAATACACTAAATACTCTTTTTTTTTTAGTTTTTGTGAGACTTTTAACCCTTTGAGTACAATAACTTTAGGACGGTAACTTATTTATCGTCCCTAAGGGGTTTATTTGTCGTCCTTAAGGGAACAATTATCGTCCTCAAGGGATTTTTATCGTCCTCAACAGATAAGTGTTTGTACTTGAGTGGTTAGTTATCGTTCTCGAGGGTTATGTTACAGTACTCAAGGGGTTAAGTTACGCATTCAGGGGATTATGTGATATTTATGTAATGCGAACGAGCGCGAGTGAGTGATCCACTGTGTGGCGTGAATGAGCGTGTGCACGAGTGCTGCTACCTAGTGGTGTGAATGAGCGTGTGCACGAGTGCTGCTACCTAGTGGTGTGAATGAGCGTGTGCACGAGTGCTGCTACCTAGTGGCGTGAATGAGCGTGTGCACGAGTGCTGCTACCTAGTGCTGTGAATGAGCGTGTGCACGAGTGCTGCTACCTAGTGCTGTGAATGAGCGTGTGCACGAGTGCTGCTACCTAGTGGTGTGAATGAACGTGTGCACGAGTGCTGCTACCTAGTGGCGTGAATGAGCGTGTGCACGAGTGCTGCTACCTAGTGCTGTGAATGAGCGTGCACGAGTGCTGAGTGCTGTGAGAACGTGTGCACGAGTGCTGCTACCTAGTGGCGTGAATGAGCGTGTGCACGAGTGCTGCTACCTAGTGCTGTGAATGAGCGTGTGCACGAGTGCTGCTACCTAGTGGTGTGAATAAGCGTGTGCACGAGTGCTGCTACCTAGTGCTGTGAATGAACGTGTGCACGAGTGCTGCTACCTAGTGCTGTGAATGAGCGTGTGCACGAGTGCTGCTACCTAATGGTGTGAACAAAAGTTGATTATGGTTGAATCTCTGCTTAGTTAGATGACATGGCACAAGGTTTCGTGAGTCTTGCATGTTACCCTGTAAAGGAGATTGTATTTTACTGCACCACTGTGAAGGCTAAGTTTTTTGAACATTTGAACACGTGTTTCACCCTTAAAGGGGTAAGTTCTAGACACCTGGCGCTAGTAATAGTTTTAAATATGTTTAATTAGCTTAGAGCGTGGAGTACCCTGATGTGGCATCACAGCCCTGTAGTCAGGGCTGAATACAACTGAGTGAAACAGTGAAACTGTCCTGTTTGTCATAAGATAAAAACAGTGGAGGTAAAAAGATAAATGAGCAATGTAATAGATTATGTGTTATAAGAACATAAGAAAATAAGGATTCTGCAATAGGCCGGTTGGCCTGTGCATGGCAGCTCCTGTCTAAAGTTACTACCACTCTCTATCATCCATGAATCTATCTAGCCTCCTTTTAAAACTTTCCAGAGTTCCAGCTCTTACAACAAAGTTACTAAACTTGTTCCACTCGTCCACCACCCTATTTGTGAACCAGTTACTTCCTATCTCCCTCCTAAACCAAAACTTATCCAACTTAAATCCGTTGCTACGTGTCCTATCCTGCTCGGATATTATAAGAACTTTATCTATAGCTCCTTTATTGATTCCCTTCACCCACTTAAATACTTCTATCATATCTTCCCGCACTCTTCGTATTTCTAGGGAATGCAAGTTTAATTTCTTCAACTTATCTAGATATGGAAGGTTTCTAAGTCCCGGAATCATTTTCGTCATTCTTCGCTGCACCGACTCCAGTGAATTGATATCCATTCTATAATAAGGGCACCAGAACTGAACCGTATAATCGAGGTGCGTCCTGACTAACGCAAGATATAGTTGCAATATGACCTCTGCACTCTTATTACTTACACTTCTAGATATACAACCTAATACTCTGTTTGCCATATTTCGAACATTAACGCACTGTTTTCTTGGCCGTAGGTCCGGGCTTACAAGTACCCCAAAGTCTCTTTCACAAGTCGACTTCTCTAGGTTGATGTTGTTAAGGCCGTTTCCATTGACAGTATTTGTTCTTCCAGTATTAAGTACGCTGCACTTGCTGGTGTTGAATTTCATTTGCCATTTTTCTGACCACTCCTGCAGTTTATTTAAATCCTCCTGTAGTGCATTTGCATCCTGCCCTGAATTACTCTGTCGCCCTATTTCGGTTCCATCCGCAAACTTGCTTATGTCACTGCTGATCCCAGTATCTAGATCGTTTATGTAGATTATGAACAAGAGTGGACCCAGTACTGACCCCTGGGGAACCCCACTGGTAACACAGCCCCACTCAGATTTAACACCATTTACGCTGACCCTCTGTGTTCTATCGGTGAGCCATGATTTTATCTAATTTAAAACTTCCCCTCGATACCATGAGCCATAACTTTTCTCAGAAGCCTCTGATGCGGTACTCTGTCAAACGCTTTGCTAGAGTCTAAGTAGATAACATCGTAATTTTCGTCATTATCTACTACCTCGAAGACTTTCCTAAAAAAACGTCAGCCGATTTGTTAGACAAGATTTTCCCTTTGTAAACCCATGTTGAGAGTCGTAGAATAATTTGTTTTTCTCTAAATGCGATTGCATGCTATTTGCTATAATTGATTCAAGAAATTTCTCCACTACTGACGTCAAACTAATCGGCCGGTTATTTGCCGGTAATGCTCTGTCTCCCTTTTTGAATATGGGTACTACATTTGCCAGTTTCCACAAGTCTGGCACAACTCCCGTGTCTAATGATTTTGTAAATAAATTTACTAGGGGTCCGCTAATCTGTTCCTTACACTCTTTCAAAACTCGAGGGAAGATTTCATCCGGCCCTGGGGATTTTGCCTTCTTTAATTTATTTATCTTCTTAAGAACATCCTCTTTTCTGATGGTGATATTCTTTAATTTCTCTTCTTCATTTCCCCTAAATATCAGTTCCACCTCTCGAATTTCCTCGTCAATTTCTTATGTGAAAACTGATAAGTAGCTGTTTAATGCTTTGCATATTTTCTCAGTATCATC